GAGACGAGAGACGGAGAGTTATCGTCGGCTGTTATCGGTGCTTTATCGCTGCGCTCTGTTTGACGTGGCGTTATTGCTCGCGACGCAGATACAATGAGAAAACGGCGCTGTAGAATTGCAACGGTTATTAAAACGATGCGGAGAGCGGAATTTTGTTGCTCCATTCCAAGATCCGACGACGATACGGCAATCGGCAATCGGCTTAACGCAGAGCCGCGCGACTCATCTCGACTTTATTATCAAGCGTCCTCGATGAAATAATATAATAGGACGATCGGCTGTTACCGAACGTGCAAATAAAACGATTACTCCCGGTACAGTTGCCGCGGTATTAATTGTTAGATGAAATTCCTACGTCTCGACGCGGTATATACTTTGCCTCGGTGTGTTTCAATACGCAGCCTTTCAGCGTATCTACAGTGCATTCTAGATGGCATTCGTTCTTTTCAATTTTTTCTTTCCTTTTTTCTTTTTCTTTTTCGTTTTCTTTTTTTTTTTCTCTCTCTCTTTTAAGTTTAACGCTCCAATTGCAACGTTGCTCGAACAACAATTGTAAACGCAATGACGAACGACAAAATATATGTTCAATGTTGTATGCCAATGAGAAGACGTGCTGTTGAAGACTTTGTATCATCAGGGAATATATTGCGATATTGCGAATTTTGTGAAAAAAAAATAAGCAAAGTATGTAGTGTAAAGTTTTTATTGTCCAGAGGTCTGTTCTTCGAGAAGGCTGATTACACACATTTTCAAAGAGACGACAGAGGACAAGCATTTTCCTCCGGTTGTAAGAAGCTTGAGATCCGAAAAAGGGAAACGCAAAAGTGAAGAATAAAGGGAGGGCGGGGGAAAAAAAAGAAGAAGAAGAAGAAACAAAATATACGTTTTACTCGCAAAGAGAGTAATTCAAAATCTATAAAACCAGGCATACACACATACGTATTTCATCCAATATCATTTTCATCGAGTTACATTATGTTTCCAGATTCCTCATAAAATCTCTTTATACCCTGTCGGCTGGCCATCGGCGTTTATCATCGTATTCTATTACTATCGTTCGGTTCCTTTAATCCCGGCGTTGCGCGTCGTTAAATGGGTTCATTTTTATCGTACGCAACGGAAGAATGTCCGCGGCTAATGATGGTGTATTTATTTATTGGCGGTTGCTCGTTCCTTCTTTTCGTTTTTTTCCTTCGATGCAGGCGAGGCACACGTAGGACGGAGAGCAAAGTTGCCTGGCATTAGGCTGCTCGCCCAGTGCCGGATATTCATACGGCCTTCGGTGGCGGGTTACGAGTCGAATGTAAATTGCATGAAGGGCCGAGAATCCAAGGACGTCGCTACCCATACGCTACTTTGTAGATAGTTGCTGCGAGTACTTCGAGTTTGGTTGTCTCGCAACCTTGGACCCTGATTCCGACCACCTCTGCT